GGGGGAGGGCTGTTGAGGGGGGAGCCGGTGGCACCGGCACGCAAGCCCGGAGGGTGCAGGATGGGCACCCCGGGGTTTGCTTGGGGACGGCCGACATCCTCCGCTGCTCTGTTAAACGTGTCCCCATCCCGCTGTCCCCCAGGCGCCGTCACCCCCGTGAAGGACCAGGCTGTCTGCGGGTCCTGCTGGGGCTTCGCCACGACGGGCGCGATGGAGGGTGCCCTCTTCCTCAAGGTGAGAGCGGGGCCGTGCGCCGTAGGGATGCCGGGGGCGCCTGGATGGTGCCCGTCCCCATCCCTACAGCGTGTCCCACCCCCCCATCCCCTCCCGCAGACCGGCGTGCTGACCCCCCTGTCCCAACAAGTCCTCATCGACTGCTCCTGGGGCTTCGGGAACTACGCCTGTGATGGGGGCGAGGAGTGGCGAGCCTACGAGTGGATCAAGAAACACGGCGGCATCGCCAGCACCGAGTCCTACGGCACCTACAAGGGACAGGTAAGGAAAGGGGTGGCCCCGTGTCCCTGCCGGGGTCCCCCAGGTCTTGGGATGTGCTCCCCGGGCCTGGTTTTAAAGCCACGGTGGGGTGATCAGGATCGATCGGAGGTGCTAAGAGGCTCCGGAGATGGGGACGTCACCTCCTTCCCAAGGCACCAGGTTCCCCGTGGTTCGAAGCGCGGTGCCAAGCCGAGCCCCAGGGCTCCGCCGGGCGGTTTCATCACAGCGTGCCTCAGTTTCTCCTCTTGCAAAACAGGGACAAGGGCTCCTCCACCCATGGGTGGTGCCACGGGTCCCTCCGTCCCCTGGGGTGCAGGGATGGAGCAGGGCTGCCCCGGGGACAGGGACGTGACCGCAAGACGCAGGCAACAGCCCCCCCCAGGGCTTTGGGTGCAGAGCCAGCTCCCCGCCCCGCGTGCGGGCAACGCTGTATCCCTGCAGCAACCAGGAAAACATCCCCACCGCGGTGGGCAAGGGAGGACAGAGGGACCAGAGCCGGGATGCTGTCAGAGCCCGAGTCCCAGATCACTCCCTGCATCAGAGCAGAGTCGCACGGGGACAGCCACGGTGGGCAGGACACCAGCGAGGGGACCCGGGGGGCTCCGGATGATGTAGTGCGTGTGTCTCCCTCCCTCCTGGGTGTCGCAGAACGGTTTGTGCCACTACAACCAGTCTGAGATGCTGGCCAAGATCACGGGCTACGTCAACGTCACCTCGGGGAACATCACGGCCGTCAAAGCTGCCATCTACAAGCACGGCCCCGTGGCCGTCAGCATCGATGCCTCCCACAAGACCTTCTCCTTCTACTCCAACGGCATCTACTACGAGCCCAAGTGCGGTGAGTCGGGTGGCACATGGGGCACGGGAGGACCCGGGTGCCCAGGGAGACGCCAGGACACCTGCGGTCCCCTCCTCCTTGTTGAGCAGCTTGGCCAGAGGTGGAAGAAGGAACCTTCAGCCACCCCCAGTGCTGCCAGCAGCCCCAGGAGCAGGGATGCTCTCCAGCCAGGGATGTTCTCTGGACGAGCCGTGTCCCATGTTATTCCCTGCAGCGAACAAGCCAGGAGGGCTGGACCACGCCGTGCTGGCCGTGGGCTACGGGGTCCTGCAGGGAGAGACCTACTGGCTCATCAAGAACTCCTGGTCCACGTACTGGGGCAACGATGGCTACATCCTCATGGCCATGAAGGACAACAACTGCGGCGTGGCCACCGCCGCCTCCTTCCCCATCCTGGCCTGATGGGACACAGCCCCACGTGCGCCCTACCCTTGGCGATGCTCTCGGCACCCATCCCTGGATCGGCCCCTTCGGTGTGAGCCACACCAGATGAAGAAACTGGGGACACGGTGGGACTGGGCCAGGGGGTGCCGGACAAGGGGCTGGATGAGGACCCGGCTGTGAGCTTGCCAATAAAGACCCTGGAAAAATACCAGTTTGCTTCTACAGGAGGGATTGATTCCACTGCTGCCCACCCGGTGCCTCTGCCCTCTTTGCAGACCCCAGCGCCCGCAGCGTGGGACACATCCGTCCCCTGCGCTGGTCCCTGTCCCCAAGCTTGTTTTCTCCGTCCCGTGGGGTGGCAGGAGCCTCCCGGGGAGGGGACGCTGCCTTCTTGGCAGAGCCGGTTGGCTCTCGCAGACGGTGGCAGACACCCAGGGCGAGGGGAGCGGCTTTTCCAGCCCTATCTCTCGAGGTGGAGCACAAACAACCCCAGGGATTTCTGCTGAGATGAGAAATTCCTGGCGTGGGGTGTTGGGGTCGGGGTGTTGGGGGGGGGGAAGGCATCCACCCTCTGCC